CGCGAGGGAGCTGGGCAGAGAGAGCTCAGGGGAGAATGCTCCCTCACATGTGCGCCCGCCCACCAAGTGACACCACTGCCAGCCTGAGGGGGCCAGCTCCTGGGCCACCCAGGAGAAGAGGCTGTCAAAATGTGGCCGCACTAGCGTACATACCCGGGTCGCAGGATGGCCGGCGGACCCGGTCCCAACTGTGACCTCTGCGACCACGGTATGTATGACAGTCGGTAAGGGAAGGGTAGGGGGGGTAGGGGCTGCACACAGGGCAAAGGGGCTGCATAGAGGGGGCAAGAGTGATACACATAGGGGGAATTAACTGCACAGAGAGGAATTCACACAGGGGGGATGGGGCTGCACACAGAGGGGGCAAGGGGGCTGCAAACAGAGAGGGAAATGAGGCTGCACACAGAGAGGGAAAGGGGGCTGCACAGAGGGGGTAAGAGGATTCACGCTAAATTAACTGCACAGAGGGAAAAGAGAGAGGATTCACATAGGGGAGGGCTGCAGCCCACCAGAGGGGCTGCACACAGAGGGGAGTTAGCACTGCACAGAGGAGAGAAAGGGAAATTAAACTGCACAGAGAGGAAAAGGGATTCCACTACCAAAGGGGAGAACACACAGAGAGGGGGAAAGAGGATTCACATAGAGGGAATAGAACTGCACAGAGCAGGAAAAGAAATTAACTACAAACAGGGAAAGGGGCTGCACAGAGAGAGGGAAAGGGGCTGCACAAAAGGGGGAGTGGGCTGCATAAGCAGGGGGAATAGACTTTACAGAGGAGGAAAGAGAGGGGATTCCACACAGGGGAATAGACACACACAGAGGGGGGGAGGGGCTGCAAACAGGAGGAAGGGATTGCACAAAGAGGGATGGGCAGAACACAGGTGTGCCAAGGGGCTCACTGTGGCGGTGGTGGGGGTTAAGGGCTTTAAAATATTACAACAATGCAATGCAAAAACCAATAATACACCTTCCTATTTGTTGTCCCCCTCCCTTTGGCTTACCTTGGGCCAGAGAGAGGAGACACAATGATCTGGACCTAGCCTGACTGGGGGGACTCTGCTCTTCATGATGCACAGCAACACTCTATGTCTGTCACTTGTTGCTGTCAGACAGTAGCAGTGCTGAAGGGCTGCTGCCTGCTTGAGAGGCAGTGAGGGAGATCTGATTTTGTGCTGAGCAGGAGGAGAAGGTTCCTTCCTGGGTGCCTTACCACCCCCACGTTCCCCCTTGGGCTCCACCTCCACCCCAGAGTCCCCCCATACCCCACTCCCTGCACCACATACCCCAGTCAGACAATTAAAAACAGACAGCTTACCTGCTGCATCAGTCACTGAGTCTGAGACTCAGAGGAGCCAGCCAGCTATCTACCAAGGCCGCCCACAGCACCAGGAAGAATGTTATTATCTGATAGTAAGAGCAGGGGTTCACAGTGCAGCCGGGCCCCCTGGTCGCAATTGCGACCCCTGAGACCACTGTAGGTATGCCACTGGTTCTATTATACCTCACCTTACCTTCAGAGGAGGCATACCAACCCCCCTCCCAGAGCAGTGCCATTAAGGATACGTAACATCCCATATTACTTAAACCCCGCCCAGAGATAGCACTATCTCTCTGTTACAGATGAGCAAGGATACGCTCATCTTTTGGTTATGTTATATGTTTCTATTTAATTATGATTTTTGTTTAATAGTTATACATGTCTATGATACAGCACAGTATTTATTTATGTTTATAGGAAGCAACACGTGTGTGGGCCAGGGGCAGAGAGAAAAGTCAGGTATCTCTCATGATAAGTTTGATTAATCTTACCTCCTACAATGTTAGGGGTCTGAACGCGCCACAGAAATGAACAATGGCAATGAGGGAATTGGCCACATTAAGATCCAATATCTATATCTAATCTTCTTACAGGAAATGCATTTTAAAGGCCCAAAAGCACCCAAGCTATATCACATATATAACAGCAATTATACTAAAAATAAAACTAGGGAGTGGAAATTTTGGTGGGAGCACAGTTACCCTTTACTTATGCAAACCACATCATAGATGAAGGAGGTTGTTTCCTGATTTTGAAAGGCACAATAGGGTTCACTAAGGTGACACTAGTAAATATAAACTTACCCAACAGAGATCAAAGTGCCTCCTTTCGATGCATAATGGCAAAAAATTATTCTGAGAGGGAAGGCGCACTGATCATAGGGGAGAATTTAATGTGTCATTGGATGCTGACAAGGACAGCACCTCCCAAAGCCAGGCATATGTTGCAACCACTAGAAAGTGCATGAAACACTTAATGGATACAAATCAACTGGTAGATTGTTGGAAAACTATGAACCCAGGACTGAAGGACTACATGTTTACTCTTCTTCCAATAACACATATACTAGACTGGACATGTTCATGGTTCACCACAAAACCCTGAGCCTAGTTAGAAAGTCCACTATAGGACACATAACATGTTTAACCATGCGCCGGTCTCGCTCACCATCTCAATACTCACGATTAGTGAAGTTGCGAACCCGAAATTTTCGGTTCGCGAACGGCGAACGCGAACTTCCGCAAATGTTCGCGAACCGGCGAACCGGGCGAACCGCCATAGACTTCAATGGGCAGGCGAATTTTAAAACACACAGGGACTCTTTCTGGCCACAATAGGGATGGAAAAGTTGTTTCAAGGGGACTAACACCTGGACTGTGGCATGCCGGAGAGGGATCCATGGCAAAACTCCCATGGAAAATTACACAGTTGATGCAGAGTCTGGTTTTAATCCATAAAGGGCAGAAATCACCTAACATTCCTAAATCACAATGAATATGGATTGACACCTGACATATGACATATTGACACCTTGACATATGGATTGACACCTGTCCTCAGAGCCCCTGATGCACACGGACACAGAGCAGAATAGAGACTGGTCCCCCTACATAGGGTCACTTGGCAGATATGGATTGACACCTGTCCTAAGGATCCCTGATACACACTGACACAGAGCAGAATAGGGACTGTTCCCCCTACATCGGGTCACTTGGCAGATATGGATTGACACCTGTCCTCAGAGCCCTGATACACACTGACACAGAGCAGAATAGAGACTGTTCCTCCTACATAGGGTCACTTGGCAGATATGGATTGACACCTGTCCTCAGAGACCATGATACACACTGACACAGAGCAGAATAGGGACTGTTCCTCCTACATAGGGTCACTTGGCAGATATGGATTGACACCTGTCCTCAGAGACCCTGATACACACTGACACAGAGCAGAATAGGGACTGTTCCCCCTACATCGGGTCACTTGGCAGATATGGATTGACACCTTGTTACAAACTGCTATTTGTAACTGGCCCTTTAAATGGCAAATTGCCCTGCTTCCCTGGGTTGTGGAGAAGCCTATTTGCCAGCCTCCTCCCGCATGACTATGGCCCCTGGGAGATTGTGAAAATGTATGCACTTTTATTTGGTGTGTATGGCCCTTTAAGACTGTTGGTGGGCATATTGGGGCTTATGGACTCTTTATGTGACTGGTGCTGGCCCTTTAAACACCTTTTTTGGGACATCAGGAAGATTGGGACACTGCCCCTTTAAGGCCGTGTCCCCAGACTTGTTGGGGACACGGCCCCTTTAAGACGGTGTCCCCTGTGTCCCCAGACCTGGTGCAAACCCTTTGTGCCTGCCTGGCTATTTCCCACTTGGTTCAGTAAATGGGGCTTACTGAACCAAGTACCACACAGGCAGACCACCCAGAAGTGGAAGTGTGCAGGCAATTTACCTCCCAGAAGCTGCAGGTTAACCAGCAGCTTAATTGACAATGCTGGGAGGTCTTTGTTCGTTTGCTGAACACGTGGCGGCGGCCATCTTTGATCATTCGACGAGGTCAGCGGTATGTGTAGCCAAATTCATGGAACTAAAATCGGCTACACATTTCCGCGAACACCGCTGAGCTCTACCTTCTCCCCTACTGGTTTTACAGCTGCGGAGACTAAGTCCCATTCGGTGATGGGACTTAGTCGTTTTTTCATCCGTTTTTTTCAGCCTTATTTCAGCTGCAGAGACTAATTCCCAATCCGCGATAGGACTTAGTCGTTTTTTCAGCCTGAAATAGACCGACCGCACAGCCCAAATCTATGGAACTGTTTTGGGCAGGAAAATGTGCTTGCGGTCGGTCATAAAGGGACCTCCAGCTAACTTTTTAACCCCTGGATTGATTTGGCTGAGTTTTGGTTATGTTTATGTTTTAAGTGTGCTGATTCCAGATATGTAATTGTTATGAAGATGGGATGTGTAGTTTTAAAGTTACAGTGTATGGATAAAAACTGTATTTTTACTGCCTGTGTTTAATTATGTTAACCCATTGTGTACCATAATTAGATCACAGGCAGAGGGGAGGATTCTTGTGGGTAATTGATGGGAGTGTTTCTGGAATGTATGGTTATTATTGGTTTTTGTGTAAAACCCTGTGGGTGGTCCTATCTCAGGGAAACCTGCATAAAAGAAGGTTCTTTGTGTGCCAATAAACAGAATGACTTGACCCTCTAACTTGCAGCCTTGACTCATGTTTGTAGGCGACAGCTATAATCACTACAGGGATTGCTATGCTCTTCATACTCCCTTAGCTACTGAGCTCTTGTAAGAGCTCTTGTTCCTGATCCTGCTTCGCTCTACAGAAGGAAGAGGTTCACCTACTGGAACCTGGAGCCTGGTCGTAGGTCCAGGGCGGATAGCAGACGGCGAGATCCTAGCCCAGCAGTGGCGGTTCGTTGAGTCTGCAGTACTTATGGTGTCTTCGCAGTACTTATGGTGTCTACAGTGCTGATGGTCCTTTGAGCGCTAGGAGCATCCTTTCTACGGTCCAACTTTCAGCCAGCCTGGAGGCAACCGTAACACACCTGTCCTAGGGATCCCTGATACACACTGACACAGAGCAGAATAGAGACTGTTCCCCCTACATTGGGCCACTTGGCAGATATGGATTGACACCTGTCCTAGGGATCCCTGATACACACTGACACAGAGCAGAATAGGGACTGTTCCTCCTACATAGGGTCACTTGGCAGATATGGATTGACTGTTCCCCCTACATACACACTATTGGATCTCGCAAAACTTACCAAGGATCTAAATCATGTTCCTGTATCGTACATGAAAAACCTACTCATACAAAATCTCTTCCCAAACGTCATTTCGTTCAAAGTGGAGAGAATGTTAAAAAAATATATTTTTGTTCTGAGTGTGAGAAATGCTTTTCAGCCGCTTCTAATCTTAAGCATCATTTGAGGAGCTATACAGGAGAGAAACCTTATTTGTGGTGTGTTTAGTATTGTTCTGATCAGTTTAATATCTTCCGCGTCTCCTATCAGTGGACGTGTATATGGCAGCCATTTTAGGAACCGTACACCTGGGACCCGAGCAAGGTCACCTCGCTCAACAGGCGACAACATTTGTCCCTGGAAAACTATCCTGGACATTCTGTACAATTTGTATGGATATGGCAGTGATTTCTGTAACAGGGAGATGGAAGAAGATGCTTGGTCAGTCCTCTTAATTCAAATTTGGGGCACTGCGCGGTCAAGCTAATGTGCTACCAGATAGGAGTGGTGTGTTTAGTATTGTTCTGATCAGTTTAATACCTTCCGCGTCTCCTATCAGTGGACGTGTATATGGCAGCCATTTTAGGAACCGTACACCTGGGACCCGAGCAAGGTCACCTCGTTCAACAGGCTACAACATTTGTCCCAAAAACAGTCAAAGGCTTCCTCCAGATTAGCCATTATTTGACTGTGTAAGTACTTCAGGTCAGCTTAGTGCCTCATCCTGCCTTGAGTAACATGAGCTGTATATGGCAGTGATTTCTGTAACAGGGAGATGGAAGAAGATGCTTGGTCGGTCCTCTTACTTCAAATTTAGTACTAGGAGTGGTGTGTTTAGTATTATTCTGATCAGTTTAATACCTTCCGCGTCTCCTATCAGTGGACGTGTATATGGCAGGGATTTCTGTAACAGGGAGATGGAAGAAGATGCTTGGTCATTTTGTCAGATTCAAGTTCTTGTGCCCCACAGTTCAAATTAACATTCAAATGACAATTCATGACAGATCACACAAGTGAATAGCCCTGCCAACATCGTCTCAGAATTGTTTTGTTATCTAAGAAGAAATAGAAATGCAAGAGCAGAATAGAGACTGTTCCCCGTCCTCAGAGACCATGATACACACTGACACAGAGCAGAATAGAGACTGTTCCCCGTCCTCAAAGCCCCTGATACACACTGACAAAGAGCGGAATAGAGACTGTTCCCCCTACATAGGGGCACTGCGCGTGCAATCTAATGTGCCACCAGATAGGAGTGGTGTGTTTAGTACTATTCTTATCAGTTTAATACCTTCCGCGTCTCCTATCAGTGGACGTGTATATGGCAGCGATTTTTGTAACAGGGAGATGGAAGAAGATGCTTGGTCGGTCCTCCTAACTGGAGACTGTGTTGCTGTACGGGTGGCAGGTGGAGCCATTTATAAAGTACCCACTGCTTTGCAGACCATGTATCAGTGGTCAGATGGACCCTTGCCCCAACACTGTGTGCCAGATTTGCCATTACTTCCTTTTGCACAGTCGAGTACAGGTTGGGGATTGCCTTTTGCGCAAAGAAATTTTGGCCGGGTACCTTCCACTGCGGTGTCCCAATAGCTACAAATTTTTTGAACGCCTCAGACTCCACCAGATTGTATGGTAAAAGCTGTCGGGCTAATAGTTCAGACAAGCCAGGTGTCAGACGCCGGGCAAGGGGGTGACTTTCTGACGCTTGCAGACAACTAACTGCTATTCAATCTATAACAGTGAAAAAAGTTTTGAAGCCACAGTGCAGCACCAGAGGGCCTAAAAATTAGGCATGTACACATGCCTGAAAAATTCGGTATTGTTGCAGCCGCTGCTGTAGCAGCGGCCAGAAAATTGATGTTTGTTTCACAGGCAGAAAGTGCCCTAAAACATGGCGGCTTGAACCCTAGTTGGTGGCGGATAAGTCACGCAAGTCAACCGGCATTCAGAGCTAAAATACAGCAGCATGTGGACCATTTTTAGCCCAAGGCAGCTCATCTCATCAGGCCTTTTTTAATCGAATGTATCGCCCAGTGTCAGTCCCTTCGGGATCCATCCCTCATTCATCTTAATAAAGGTGAGGTAATCTAGACTTTTTTGACCTAGGCGACTTCTCTTCTCAGTGACAATACCTCCTGCTGCACTGAAGGTCCTTTCTGACAGGACACTTGAAGCGGGGCAGGCCAGAATTTCTATCGCAAATTGTGATAGCTCAGGCCACAGGTCAAGCCTGCACACCCAGTAGTGAAGGGGTTCATCGCTCCTCAGAGTGCAGTTAAGGCAAGGTAGTCTGCTACCTGTCGGTCGAGTCGCTCTCTGAGGGTGGATCCCGAAGGGCTGTGGCGATGCGTAGGACTTAAAAAGGTCCGCATGTCCTCCATCAACAACATGTCTTTAAAGCGTCCTGTCCTTGCTGGCGTGGTCGTGGGAGGAGGAGGATGACTTCCACCTCTCCCCCTGTTAGATTCCCGTTGTGCTGTGACATCACCCTTATATGCTGTGTAAAGCATACATTTTAATTTATTTTGCAAATGCTGCATCCTTTCCGACTTGTCATTCGGTAACATTTCCGCCACTTTCTGCTTATACCGGGGGTCTAGTAGCGTGGACACCCAGTACAGGTCGTTCTCCTTCAGCCTTTTTATACGAGGGTCCCTCAACAGGCACGACAGCATGAAAGACCCCATTTGCACAAGGTTGGATGCCGAGCTACTCATTTCCCGTTCCTCCTCCTCACTGATGTCAATGAAGGTATGTGTCACGTATTCATCCGCTTATAGAAATGTGGTTAATGACATTTACTGTCCACACAGGAAAAGTTGTGCCGAGCAGCAACCTAATCCACAGAAGGTTTAATGCTGAGCAGTAATTGTGCAAATGAAACCTGGTCTCATGTATTCATCCACTTATAGAAAAGTGGTTAATGACATTTACTGTCCACACAGGAAAAGTTGTGCCGAGCAGCAACCTAATCCACAGAAGGGTTAATGCTGAGCAGCAATTATGCAAATGAAACCTGGTAACTGACTTTGGGGTCAAAGGCCGGTTACAGCCTATCAGAACTAAAGGAGGGGTATTTAGGCCCAGTTCTCAGCCTGCTCAGTGCCCTGTCGTGGTTTCCCTTGTGGTTGTCTGAGAGCGCGTTCCTGTTTATAGTTTTCTACCTGGTTTTTGACTTTGGCTTTGTTTATTGACTTCTCTATATTCTGGTATCCTGACTCCTGGCTTTCCTCATCGCTGTGTCCCTTTCTGTGTTCCCTGACCTCGCTAGTATTTTTGACTATTCTTTGTAAGTAAATCCGGCCATTCTAAGGACCGGTAATACGTGCTACTTATTTGTCATCCGTGCTGTACAGTACACGCGGCTGGATCAAACAGTAATCCTGACCGTATGCTCCTTCCCAGCCACCAATGCATACAACACCACAGGTACCAGATAGGTGACAACGAGCACCCTGGGATGCCTGTTGTGGTTGGTCTTCCTCCTCCTCCTCAAAGCCACATTCCTCCTCTGACTCCTCTTCCTCACAATCCTCTTCCAGCGTTGCCGCAGGTCCAGCAAGCGATGCTGATAAGGCTGTTTCTGGTGGTGATGGTGACCAGAACTCTTCCTCTTCCTCTTCACGCTCATCTACGGCCTGATCCAGCACTCTTCGCAGGGCACGCTCCAGGAAGAAAACAAATGGTATGATGTCGCTGATGGTGCCTTCGGTGCGACTGACTAAATTTGTCACCTCCTCAAAAGGACACATGAGCCTACAGGCATTGCGCATGAGCGTCCAGTAACGTGGCAAAAAAATTCCCAGCTCCCCAGAGGCTGTCCTAGCACCCCGGTCATACAAATATTCATTAACGGCTTTTTCTTGTTGGAGCAGGCGGTCGAACATTAGGAGTGTTGAATTCCAACGTGTCGGGCTGTCGCAAATCAAGCGCCTCACTGGCATGTTGTTTCGCCGCTGGATATCGGCAAAGTGAGCCATGGCCGTGTAGGAATGCTCTGAAATGGCCACACACCTTCCTGGCCTGCTTCAGGACGTCCTGTAAGCCTGTGTACTTATGCACAAAGCGTTGTACGATCAGATTACACACATGTGCCATGCACGGCACATGTGACAACTTGCCCAACTTCAATGCCGCTAACAAATTTGTTCCGTTGTCACAAACCACTTTGCCGATATCCAGTCGCTGCGGAGTCAGCCACTTTTCCACCTGTGCGTTCAGGGCGGACAGGAGTGCTTGTCCGGTGTGACTCTCTGCTTTCAAGCAAGTCAAACCCAAGACGGCGTGACACTGCCGTATCCGGGATGTGGAATAGTACCTGGGGAGCTGGGGGGTGCCGTTGATGTGGAGCAAGACGCAGCAGCAGAAGAGGACTCAGCCGAGGAGGTTATGGAAGAGGATGGAGTAGGAGGAGTAGAGGAGGTGGCAGCAGGACTGCCTGCAAGTCGTGGCGGTGTCACCAACTCCTCTGCAGAGCCATGCATTCCATGCTTGGCAGCAGTCAGCAGGTTTACCCAATGCGCAGTGTAGGTGATATACCTGCCCTGACCATGCTTTGCAGACCAGGTATCAGTGGTCAGATGGACCCTTGCCCCAACACTGTGTGCCAGACATGCTATTACTTCCTTTTGCACAATTGAGTACAGGTTGGGGATTGCCTTTTGTGAAAAGAAATTTCGGCTGGGTACCTTCCACTGCGGTGTCCCAATAGCTACAAATTTTTGGAACGCCTCAGACTCCACCAGATTGTATGGTAAAAGCTGGCGGGCTAATAGTTCGGACAAGCCAGCTGTCAGACGCTGGGCAAGGGGGTAACTTTCTGACATTGGCTTCTTATGCTCAAACATGTCCTTGACAGACACATGACTGTGGGCAGATGAGCAGGAACTGCTCAAGGCGGGAGACGGAGTGGCGGATGGTTGAGAGGGGGCAAGGAGGACAGCAGTGGTTGACGTGGCTGAAGATGCTGGACCAGGAGGAGGATGGCGGCTTAGAGTAGGCGTGCTGCTTGTACTCATATGTTGATCCCATAGGCGTTTGTGATGTGAGATCATGTGCCTACGCAAAGCAGTTGTACCTAGGTGGGTGTTGGACTTCCCACGACTCAGTTTCTTTTGGCACAGGTTGCAAATGGCATTGCTGTTGTCAGAGGCAGACACACAAAAAAAA